ATGCTGCTAAAATCAAAAGATGAATAACTGTTGACTGTGTAAACTGATTGCCTTGAACCACTTACACTGAACACAGGAGACTTCCTTCAGGAGAAATATCTGGGATATAAAACTGGCGTCTACATACCACAAAGCTCCCTTTCTCTCTTTAGGTTTACTCAAAGCTCTAGGCATCGGCCTGATCCAGGTTGCAGTCAACATGGAGGGGACTCAGATTGAATCCTTCTTTACGAGCCATGACTCAATCCAGGATTGTCCCTGAGCATCCACACACCTACACACAGCGGCAATCAATAACCCAATGTGGGAATTCAAATCTCCATTGATTTGAATGTGTCTGTGGGGAACAGAGACATACTGTAGGGCTGCCCATTCCCAGTGTTGTCAGTAATGTGTAGCTTGTCTTCTAGTGCCCTGGGAATGGAGGTCTACTCAAATCATAAAATCACATAGCAACCTAGTTGGAAGGGGCCTACAAGGCCATCAAGTCCAACTCTTTGCTCAATGCAGGAATCCAAATCCAAGCTAATCTGATCGATGGGTGTCCAATTTCCTCTTGAATACCAATGTCTGTGCATAGATCTACACATGATCTAAAACATGATCAGATCTTTCCAGAGCTCAAAAGTCTAACATATCATGTGAGTTAGGGTGGTTAGATAGAGAAATGGGCATGTTTCCTGTACTTTTGATAGCTGTATGGCTGAGGACATTCCACCACATACAGCCTGCACTGAAAGCTGTAAAGTGGGTCCTGCATCAAATCTAATCTGAACTTTCCGTGAATGAAAAAGTGGTGAAATCGAGGCTATCCTAGTACAATGTTTCAATACCCAAATATGGCTAGAGTGGAAACCCAACCCAACTCCTACTGACATATAAATATGGTTAGACTGGGGAACCCCCACACCTCCTATTGACAAATGGGATGGGGGATTCGGGGGGGCAGTGGTTGTGGACCAAGAGGGAAGGAATGACCCACCCCTTCCTACATCATTAAGAGCTGAAACCCAAGATGAGTTGTGATTCAGGAAACCATTAGCCTCCGATGTACCTCCGACGGCCAATCACAAAACAAGGCAAGCTGATTTGCACTTTATGGGAGGCGGGATAGCCTCCTGCTCTAACAATCAGATGCCTTTCCGTAGCTTAGGAATTCTGTCCTCTAAGGACACCCTGTCTGTAATGTACAATTTGAGCTATAGGCCCAAAGGAACATTTGTAAATTCTGACGTATAATTTAATCCTGATTTCTGAGTGTTTGAAGCACAGGAGAGCTGACATTATTGGATATGCCAGGATGGCCAAAATGGGCTCGAGAGAAGATAAACTATTTCCTGAGGAAACAGATTCTGCTAGCCCTAACTATAACAAAACAAGCAGGGCCTCATGAAAGCCACGACACCCATCATGAGTCATAGTTGTTTTTCTCCATTTGGACAAAATGTCAGACTCAGGGCATAAATTTCCAGCAGGTTGCAGCTTGACTAGAGTCTGTTTCTGGCAGGGTTAGTGATGGGTTAGAAAGGTCACTGGCCAAAGACAGGTTGGAGTTCAAGTAAACAAAGATCAGGGGACCTGGGAGCAGCCATGGTGAAAAAACAACTGGTATCAGGTGGAGTAGATGAGGTAGAATCATCAGTCAGTTACAGGTCTCCTATGAGGTGAGATAATTTGGGGCCTTCTGTGTTGTTTCTTTGGTGGACAAGTTACTCAGATAGAATATAGCTGGCAGCAGAAATTCTGTAGACCCTCCATGCATTAAGGTCTCGGCTGGATTCAAGGACTCTTGTTCCAGTGCTAGCCACCTTATGTAGGTGGTGGAGCAGCATAAGAAAGAGCAGGCAGAGCTTGGAAAAGCTGTCTCGTTTTTGGTGGGTTTTTTTTTTGAATGACACTCTTACAAATTCTACTTTACAAGATGGCCACTGCCCACATGAGCTGGGGGCATTCTGGGAATCTGCTGTTCAAAATAACTTTTCCAAGCTTTAGGTTGGAACAGAAGGTATTTTGAGTCGTAGAGGCAACCGAGCTGTGTACATTTTGAGGAGCCCAGGTCTGATGTTTCAACTCCTGTCGAGTTTCCTTAGCAGCTGACATGAGCTCAGGTAAGCCGTGAGCCATTTTACATGCAAAAAGGCGCAACAAGTAATATCATTGTGGTACAACTCTTAATAGATTATAGGTTTACCTTCATGCCTATGAAAGGCAATTACGTACACAAAACTAGCTATTGTAGCTAATTATGTGCAAGAACTTGTTACCACCAGAGATGGGCAACAACTCCTCATTCAATGGTTTGTGCTGGTTCACTGGAGAGCAAGTTCGGTGCTTTCCAGTCCTGGCTCACCAGGCTGGGAAACACCAAACTCCAATGGGCGCCCACTGAGAGGGCAGTGCCCAGAGGAGGAAAGGCAGGGAAGTCAGGCCACTGCCTCTAAGTGGGCGGCCGCCAGAGGAGGCGGGACTGGGAAGGGCTGAACAGCTGTTCCAAACATCCAATGAAATTGGCATGAACCACCAAGGCGGGCAGTTCATGCCCATCTCTAGTTATTCCCATGTTGCTCTGGTGATCACTAGACTGTCATTAGGGGATATTTCAGAAGTCCATTCATTTTTATTACGGAAAGCCTTGCTCATTTCATGTTTCATTAAAATCTCATTCCTTTTAGTATTTACATTAATCTTGGCCAAGGGTGCTTTTTCCTTCTATTTGACGATTTTTCACTGCTCCCTCTGGCAGCAGAAAACTACATTGATGGCAGCTTTCAGGAGGCTGCTTTTTAGCTTTCCCTCCAAGACTCTCAACATTGGCCAGAACGACATGTTCTGCCTCCGAACGGTGTCAGTATGAAGGGACTTTTTGCCATGTCGCACGACGTACACCTTGTTGTGCTTTAACATCATGCACGCGAGGCGCCATTTTAAAGCGTGATAAGGCTTCAGTCAGGTGAGAGAACCCTTCCACTTCCACAGGTCGCTTGCTTGTTCGGCATGTCTGGCGGGTGGCGGACCGTTTTGGTGCCTGGGGAGCGTGGTGGCTGCAGAAGTGGTGGTGGGGGGGGTATCTTCGAGGGCTGGGGAGCCCCTGTTGCTGCCAACATGCATCCTCCGGCTACTGCCATCAAGCTGCCTGCTGGACCAGCGTCCAGTGGAGGAGGAAGGGCCGGCGTCTCCACATGCAGTGAAAATGGAGCTACTGACGCTCATTCCATGGGGATCAAAACAACGTTGCCAGCAGCCAGTGCTGGCCAGCGAGCATTGTTCTTGCCTGGGAGGTGAACAACCAGTGGCTTCTTTTTCGCCACATTAAACTCTGCAAACATGCATGCGATAGGAAACCTTTTGCTCCAGTTAGCAGACAACCCTCAGTGAAAAGCTTACTGCAGGGTATCTGCAATGTGCCGTTCCAGAGAGCCCTTGTTTCATTCTGACATCACCGCCTGCTGCACATACAGCACTAAGACCCTACAAGGTTGGTTGCCCCACCCCAGAGCTTCTCAAAGCTAACGGATACCGTTTCTCCTTGAATACAGATGCAGACATACAGCAAGCGCAAAATGCTTGATTGTTTCGAAAAGATCTAAATTCTTTGATGCCTCTGATTCTTCAAAGTCTGTGCAGCAAAGCAGCAACCACAAGGGATGTGGATTTTTTTGTTTCCTTGGACTACAAATCCCATAATTCTCCATTTTGGGACTTCTACGCGATATGCACCTTACAGACACCTAAATGTGGCTCACCTGGGAGGAAAGGTCTTGGAGGCTTAGCTTAGCCTAGCTCTGCCCAAACTTCCTGTTCCTGCCCCAGTGGCAGCTGGGAGAATTCTTTCTGAGCAGGAAGTGAAGCAGAGTCAGGCCTAGCTCAGCCTCAAAGACGTTCTCAAAGCTGAGGCCATTCCCTCATGTAAACCACATTGCCTGGCAGGACTCCCCAAGCGAAGAATTATGGGATTTGTACTGCATCCGAAATCTCAAAATCGCATCCCTAGCAGCCACCACAATATTATTTTTCCATTTTGCTTCACTTGATTTAAGTATTTGTGTTAAAGCACTATTTATGCTTTTTTGATTGAGTTGTGCACATATGACCCCACACACATTTATATCATGCTTGTCCGCATTCTTTTCTATCACTAAGAGCAACAGAAAATACTTCGCTCTCTCAGGGAAGGCAGAAGTAGAAGAGTTTTATAGTTCCTTATCTGTAAGGGCAAGGTAGGTGAGGACTTGCATTGGTATCTGGCTAGACAGCAAGAGGCTGGGAGTTCGATTCCCCTTTGTACCTTCCTGACAGGGGCTACACTTGATAATCCATAGGGTCCCTTCCAGCTCTGCAGTTCTAAGAGGATGATGATGATCCCTACACCACTGTTCAGAACTAGCAAATACCTTTGGAATTCTAAGAAAAAGCAAAATGGCAACTTAAATAAGTGGCCGCCAACACTTCTGTTGTTGCTGTTTGAGGAGAACAAAACCAGCCCCAATGGGAAAGTTGAACGGGGTTCTAATTGATCCTCGTTTATCTCCACTGCAATTTATTTCAGCAGAAATGGAAATGGATCCATTCACTTACACTCTCCATTCACCCAGAGACGAATGCCCCTAAAATATGACCCACCCAATGCGATTGACTAGAACGCAGCAGTTCAGTACATGCTTCGGTCTTCGCTGAAGAAAGTGACGATCGCCCGAGAGATGGCTTAGGGACACTGTATTGGTTCTCTACATGAACAACTCACACTGAAACACTCTTTCTGGTCGCACCTATTCCATGTTTGGTTTGGAAAAAAAAAGGCAAAGCTAAAGAAACTTGAACTTTAAACCACTGAAGTACAGCTGAAAAAATCCTGAAGTTTGTGATGTGAGATTCACGTGAGCTACTGTTCCTTGAGGGTTGTGTGGGAGATCTTTGCTATGAGGAGAGGGGGCCAAAAGAAAACCCCAAAAGGACCCTCTCTGTATTTCATAGAAGAGGTGTTTGCTAAAAAAAGAACTTACCTGGAGGGCTAGAGGCTTCCATCTCACATTCTTCAGCAAGGCAGGAGCAGATACGAGAGTATTCTGAGGCCGTTTCTTCAACGTTAAGATCACACCGTTGGGGTCTTCTCGCAACGCATTCACCAGGTTCTTTAACTGCCAGCCAACCTAAAGAGAAATCCCATAATGGAATTTTGAAAGATTTTTTTTCCTTCCTCACAGCGTCCTGAAACAGTGAAGGGTGTGTTCTACAGTGGACAACAGGTGTCCTGTTACTGACATTATGTTATACGTAGGATATACTTATTACCAAGGCTGTCGGCAGCTCCTGAAGAAGACACAGAAGCTTGGAAGACTCTTTTAAACACTGCTCCTTCCTCTTCAGCAGAAGGGGGTGATGATTGTTGGGTTTAGTTGTTATTGTTATTTTAATACGGCAATATAGTCATAAATATCAACTGCAATCCAGGAAAGAAAAATGTAAAAGACGATGATGTACTGTTCTAATTTTTACACCCTCTGGGGGGGAAAAAGTGAATTATTGCTTTTAATTATCTTTTCTACTGAAGTATCAGTGTGTTTCACCGGAGGATTACAGAACAGCAGCTTCAGAATAATTACAAAATGACTACTTGTTGTCGTAACAGAACCTGTTAATTTGGGAACGAGGGGTGAAGGGAGGGGGCGAAGGGAGGTTTGTTAGCACACTGTAGAACAATATTGGTGCAGTTTCTTCAAGGTGTTTAATTAAAGATAAAACATCATTTATTTGAATTACAGGAAACTCCACAGAGAGAAATGGAATTTCTTAAGTTATTGCATACTATAGCCATTATCTGAAATTAAAGCTCCACAAACACACAAGGGCCACACCTTGGGTCTCCCTCCTCCATGAGAAAAAAAGGTTTCCAAAGTTGCTTAGGTTATGTAAAAAGCAACATTTTCCCTTTGCTCTCCTCATTTGGTGTGTCTTACATGCATTAGAAATTCCCTCTTTGTTGTCACGAATACAAATATATTTCGTGTCTTGTGAAACGCAACGTTTAAACCACGTTCTGAAATGGAAGTTAAGCAAACTGTCTGAATGTAGAAATGGAGTATTTAGAATGAATGTTTTTTTTCTTTTTAATGTATTCCCGAAGGCTTTCACGACTTCATGGATCCAATGGTTGTTTCAGGTTTTCCGGGCTGTTTGGCCATGTTTTATTGTTTTATCCTATACTGGAAGCTTTTTAATGTATTTCTGAAGGCTTTCACGGCCAGGATCCAATGGTTGTTTCAGGTTTTCCAGGCTGTTTGGCCATGTTTTGTTGTTTTATCCTATACTGGAAGTGCCAGTCTCTGTGGCCGGCATCTTCAAAGGACCGGAGTCAGAACTCTGTACTGAATGAATGAATGAATGAATGAATGAATGAATGAACGAACGAACGAACGAACGAACGAACGAACGAACAAACAAACAAACAAACAAACAAACAAACAAACAAACAAACAAACAAACAAACAAACAAATAAATGTTCTTAAGGTTTTTCTTCCAGGAGATCACCCAATCACCCAATCTCCTGAAAAGTACAAAAGCTGATCCCACAGCTATAAATGCTCAACTATCCCATAAACTGCACCAGAGCACATACAGAGTTCTGACTCCTGTCCTCTGAAGATGCTGGCCACAGAGACTGGTGAAACATTAGGAAGAAAAACCTCAACAACATGGCCAGACATAAGGTTTTTCTTCCAGGAGATCACCCAATCACCCAATCTCCTGAAAAGTACAAAAGCTGATCCCACAGCTATAAATGCTCAACTATCCCATAAACTGCACCAGAGCACATACAGAGTTCTGACTCCTGTCCTCTGAAGATGCTGGCCACAGAGACTGGTGAAACATTAGGAAGAAAAACCTCAACAACATGGCCAGACAGCCTGAAAAACCTACAACAACCATTGTTTTTCTTTTTCTTATTAAAAAAAAATCTCTATGGAACATTTTCAGAGGTAATATTAGAACTTTTATTGGCAGATGCAAATCCATCCCATGGTGAAAAGTTTCTCAGATGGATAAATTGACTCTAGGATCAGTGTGTGATTATATGGCACACAGCAGAACCATTTTCATGCTGGATAGTTCAGTGGTTGAGGTCTCTGGCTATGGAGGTTGGGAGTTCAATTCCCCGCTGTGCCTCCCTGACGGGGGCTAGATGTGCTGATCCACAATGTCCCTTCCAGCAATGTGGTTCTAAGATGATGATGATTCTTATTAGATACAAACGGGGCTTGCAACAAGAGGGCTTCTGTGCAGGATCCAACCAGCAAGTCAACTATCATAGAAGCATAGAATCGTCATAGGGTTGGGAGGGAACTTGGAGGTCTTCCAATCCAACCTCAAACCATCCCGGACCTCCTAACATCCAATCCAACCCCCTGTGCAAGGCAGGAGACCTCAAACCATCCCGGACCTCCTAACATCCCGGACAAATGGCTGTCCAAACTTTTCTTGATAACCTCCAGCGATGGGGCACCCACAACATCGGGAGGCAAGCTGTTCCACTGCTTCGTGGTTCTTGCCGTCAGGAAATTCTTCATTTCCAGGTTGGATCTCCCTCTGAGGAGTTTCCACTCATTAGTTCTTGTGCTACCCTCAAGCACAATGGTGAATAAATTGATGCCCTCTTCCCTGTGGCAACCCTTCAGATCTTGGAAGACTGCTATCATGTCTCCCCTCAGTCTTCTCTTCGTTAAACTACACATACTTGGTTCTATACCCTTTACTCCTTCTTATTGCCTGTCTTTACAGCACTGTTTCCAAACCTGGGGGGGCATGGCTTCCAAGAGGTTTGCAAAGTGTCTTCTGGTGGGTTGTGAGTCACCTTATATGTGCTGTAAGGTAAAGATAAAGGTTCCCCCTGACATTTAGTCCAGCCATGATTCTTATTAAATACAAACAGGGCTTGCAACGGGAAGGCTTCTGTGTAGGATCCGACCAGCAAGTCTAAGGGCGCGGTGCTCCTCCCTGTCTCCAAGCCGTAGAGCCAGTGTTTGTCTGTAGACAGTTTCCGTGGTCACATGGCCAGCGCGACTTAGACACGGAATGCTGTTACCTTCCCACCGAGGTGGCACCTATTAATCTACTTGCATTTGCATGCTTTTGAACTGCTAGGTTGGCGGGAGCTGGGACAAGCGACGGGCGCTCACTCCGTCGCGTGGATTCGAATTTACAGCTGAACATCTACAGATCTTACAGCACAGAGGCTTCTGCGGTTTAACCTGCAGCGCCACCACATCCCTTATATGTGCTGTAGCCCTTGTTAAATAATTTCTTCCTTCACCTTTCACAGTGGCAAATTAAAATTTTATGCAAATATAGTAGCAGTGGAGTCACAGATTTCTTGGCTATTGTAAAAGGAAATTGCAACTTGAAAAAGGCTGGGAACCATGGCTTTAGAAGCTGAAAATCCTCAGCAAATAACACAAATGATACATTACCAGATTGCTTCTTTTAAAAAAAATGTTATTTGGTTAATTGACTATGTATTTATTCTGTTAAAGGTGTATAATTTGGTGGGTTCCCTCCCCTCGCCGTGTCTGTGTTGTTTGCTTCCATGGGGGTGTGAGGGACTTGCTCTGCCCCCCCTTTTTTGGAGTAGTTTTTATGGGTTCTTTGGGCTTTTTTGGACTACAGCCTGAAAAAAACAAATGGGGAAAAATTAAAACAAAATGACCTCAAAGAGGCAATTCCTTTTGTGCTCAAAAAAAGAAACAGTCCTCAAAAACACAAAAACAAAAGAGGTACCGGAAAAGAAATACATATAAAAATTTTGCCCTGTACATCATGATTTGCAGTATCACCTCTAGCAGGTCTGTATGTAGTTCACGCCTGAAATTTAGACATCTGTAGGAGTTTTGTTTAAAAAACAGATTTTAATGCTAAATTTTAGGCAATGTTAAATATACTTACTATGGAGTAAACTCTACTGAATACAGTGGAACTTCATTTTGAGTAAATACATTTAGCCTTGCCCTATTATTAATCCTAATTCAATCCACATGAGTTCCACTTTTCCTTAAGGCATAAAACCAAATAGTTTATGAGGTGATTTCTTTTAACCTCGAAACTGTCCTTGGGTATAAATTCATCTTAGTTTTACTTCTCAGCTGTCTTTTCCTTTGGTCTCTTCATTTACACTGGTTCTCAGCGAAGTCTCATTTTCTTAACGTTTAATCATGTCATGGAGAACCAGCTGCAATTTTAAAGCTGGATGTAAAATGTTAACATCCCAGAGCCTCAGTGATTTCACCAGTTTCTTCTTGCAGACGATTGCTGAATAATTAATGTCCTGAAGATAAATTGCACTGAGGAGAAACCTTAATGAGGGAACCATTAAAATACTAAGAATATAGGCAATTGAGAGCAAGCCTACCCTGAATGTCAGTGGGCTAAGATGGAAAGCTCTTAGAACATTATCAGTGCCATTGCTGGAATGTTGGATGTGGTCAAAAATAGAAAGATTACATCATGGTAGACTGGACTTCCCAACAGGCAAAAGAAAACTGGAGTTACCACCAATAACAGGGCATCCATTAGTGTTTAACAGTGGAAGTGATTTCTCTGGAAACTTTTCATTTGGGACGTGGTGGCGCTGTGGGCTAAACCGCAGAAGCCTCTGTGCTGCAGGGTCAGAAGACCAGCAGTCGTAAGATCGAATCCACCTGACGGAATGAGCGCCCGTCGCTTGTCCCAGCTCCTGCCAACCTAGCGGTTCGAAAGCATGCAAATGCAAGTAGATAAATAGGGACCACCTCGGTGGGAAGGTAACAGCGTTCCGTGTCTAAGTCGCACTGGCCATGTGACCACGGAAGATTGTCTTCTGACAAAATGCTGGCTCTATGGCTTGGAAACGGGGATGTGCACCGCCCCCTAGAGTCGAACACGACTGGACAAAAAATTGTCAGGGGGAACCTTTACCTTTACCTTAGCTCCTAGTGGTTTAGGACAACTTGGCCATGGTTCCCAGTAGGAAGGAGGACCTTGTGAGGTTGAGCAATTGGATGGAATCTCCAAGGCAGAAGTTCCCAAATGGGGTTCCTCAGATATTCTTGGTCCTAGAAATCCTGGCCAGCACCATTAGTGGTGAAGACTTCAAGAATGTTTGGGGACCTGAAGATGGGA